ACTGTCAAAATGATTGTTTTTCTATCTGATCAGAAACTCTGAGGCGCCGTGGCCGAGTTTGTCTATGCGCTAAAATTCGTCAGATAGTCGTTCACGAGGCGAAGGTACTGTCGGTTCGAATACGGCTATCGGCTGAACATTTTTCTTTAAAATGTGTGATTCATGGTTGTAATCCTGGCAGCACCTCGATGCCCTAGAAGTGGTTCAGATTCCACTATAAGCTGTAGGTCCCGCTCTTCCTAACCCCGCATAAGTTTCGACTTCTGGGGAGTTGGTTCCCAACTGTGAAATAGCGATATACAAAATACTAAGAAAAATAGTAGGAGAGCCGGCTGCAGATTTTTACCGTCATCTGATAACGAAATGATATATGTCCCAAAAGAAAGTGACAACATCGTAGTTCATCGAACGGCACCTGTGCCAATCACTGTTCGAAATTGAACTTTCCTGTGCGGAAATTTGCACTCGATTTTGCGGATTGATAACGAGATGAGAATCATGCTATTCGATACCTTAAACCTACCTGTGCCACCCCTCAGTCTGAGCCAAATCCACGGCAAAGCGATTTATTTGCTCCTATTATTCCGGTTATACTTCCGTCATGTGATTACGAGTTGAAACAAAAAGCAAATGGAAGGAAAAAATGTCCCTTTCGCGAATACCCAAACGTGGTGCGATTCGAACTGATCTGAGTTAGTGGCAGAGCGTCAATATTTCCGTGAATATTTCGCCCTCGTCTAAAGATAATATCCGATGGAACAGTACGAAACTCAAATGGTGCTCACACTACAAGTGTTCTAATCCACATGTTGAGTTTCACACTGGTCCATCGGAAAAAATCTCGGAAGTATTGACGCTCTGCCACTAACTTAGATCAGTTTGAATCGCGAACTCGAGAACTTCATATTACCTAGTCTGCTGCAACAATAGTAAGGTGGCAACAGAGACTCGACTATGAGGTAGTAGTAAATTATTGCTTTTTGAACTGAAACTTCATGGTAGAGGTACTTTAACATATCACGATGGATGTTCTCGAAGAAGAATATCAGTTTACACAAGATAATTCGTTATTTCGATTTGATGGGATTGAATAATGCACTCATACGAATCATACAACATAAATATGGACTTGGCAACAATTATCGAATGGAGATCCAACAACTTGGTAGATTTCAATGCAAACAAAACACAAGCATATGCCTTTTCTCTAGAAAATCCGTTCTCACTGTGCCCAACATAAGCTTGTCAGGAGTAACCATTCCTTTGAAAACATCCATTTCGATGCTTGGTATTACTATCAGCAATAACCTTCTTGGGAAAATCACGCCCAGCGAGCACAAACATCCCTGGGATGTTTTGGGATGTTTTGAAAATGTTGGCATGAAGATGTTATTTTGAGACGTAATATGCACTGACCAAAGAGGTCTTTGAAGGATATTGAAGTATTGTTTTTGTTCTTCTGTGGCATTTCTTTATTTGCCAACTGAGAGGTATCCCTGGGATGTTTTGGGATGTTTTAGAAATGTAGGCATGAGGTTGTTTTTTTGAGGCGTAATATGCACTTCCCAAAGAGGTCTTAGAAGGATATTGAAAGTATTGTTTTTGTTCTTTTGTGACCTTTCTTTGTTTGCCCCACCACAAAGTCTCATGCTTACGACACAATACGATGAATTCTGATTTGTTTTCGATTTTGTTCTTTTTGTTCGCAATTGGCATTCGCGTTTGCAGCGTGTCACGCTTACATCACGCTGCTAACGAACAGAAAGAAATTTGGTGAAGTTTATTGTGTTAGAAGACTAATTTAGTTTGTAATAATGACCATCAGATGCAAGATGTGTTGTTCGGTGCCTCAGTGTGATCAATATATGAAAGTACGAATTTATCAATACACAGCTTCTCCGCAGTTGCAAAACTATGCATTGTGGAGAACATTTCGAAAATTGGGAAACCTATTTCCAATTATATGTCTGTGTGTAGTAAGCACTACTCAGAAACCGATGAAGAAGATAATTTCATATCAAGAAAATATTTTTATGTTCAATCTATTTTTAATGCATTTTTTCGTTCAAGGGAAATGGAATCCTAATGCAAAAGTTCATTTTGACAAAAGGCTTCAGAAAAGTACCTCGAAAATGGTTTTTCTACAGCGATTTAATGTGCGCAAGCCGCGGTGAAAATGTTTTGTTGTGTCCATATGAAAAGGCTTTAAAAAGAACTAGGGAGAAGGTAGTTTTGTGACATATCAAGGACATCTCGATGATTGCCGCCTGCGGCGGACATTGGCTGTTCTATAATAGTTCTATTCATGTGTGAACAGAACATCGCAGTTGAGGTTCAATGTCTCGAAATCTCGTACTTTTAACATCTCTGAGATGTTTTTGTGCTCGCTGGGCGTGAGATCAATTGCTAAAAGTGCATCCCAAAAATTTGGTTTTTTGTTTCGGGCCAGGAGCAATTCCACTTCCAGTCAGCTGCTTATGATCTATAAGGCATAGATCCGACCTTTCCTGGAATACTGTTCCCATATTTGGAGTACAGCACCCGAACATACCCTGAAACTGTTGGATTCTGTTCAAAAAAGGGCAATTCGTCTCGTGGGTGATGCCTCGCTCACAAACTCATACACTTCTCTGGAACACTGCAGAAAAGTTGGCGATCTGGCTCTATTTCATAGATATTTTCGTGGACGATGCTCTTCTGAGATATCAACAATTGTTCCTCCCTAGGCATTCCCCGCAAGATTAACCCGTCGAGTTGAGGCTTCGCACCCCTTCTTGGTTACTTTGGAGACCTGCAGAACATCTCTTTCCAAAGACTCGTTCATCTAACGAACAGCGAGGCTCTGGAACACATTGCCATGGGAGGTGTTCCCCGAGGCATATAACCTTCAGAAATTCAAGAAGAACACCAATTCCTACCTTATTTCCCTTGGTTATCACGATGTTCTCTGAACATTACAGAATATCCCTTTTCGTTGGAACCAGAACTAAAAAAAAAAGAAATACAACTTTCTATTCATTCACTTGTTCACTTACCATCTTACAATAACAAATAACAGCTGAGACGGCTGGCGCAGAGAAAGCATGTTCTTTTTTCTTTTTTACACCACATTTTCATCATCGATGGAAGTGACGTCACTCTCTGATGCATCGAATTGTTGGGATCATCAGTGTTGAAAAAACGCAGTTATTTGAAATGGCAATCACAACTTTTTTTTTTCTTCGTCTATTTTTCCTCTCGTGATTTGATAAGGATTCAGATTGTTTTGAATTAGAAGCTCAGAATTGGCGGAAACTAATGAAGTTCTAGTAGTTCTTATCTGATAGTTCGGAGGATGAAATATTGTTTATGTTAGGGAGTTGACGAGATAGGTTGAATATTCTCAACATACAAAACATGTGGCATTACATTATGATGATATGGATAGAGTCATTATAATAACAATTATCTGTTATTGGTACTGAAGTTGCCTGAATCTTTGCACTGATTTCTTGAAATTCATGATGGGTATGAAGAAAGTACCTACCACTCGAAATTTCTCCAATTTCTGTTGGTGTCGATAATGCAGCTCTTCTTTCATTTTCATATTCTATAGGCTGATTTCGATTAATTCATCCATATTTTTCCTGAGACAAATGGCAAACATCTTTCTAATCCAATATTTTCAGTTTTTTGAGACTATATGCTGTCGCTGTCATTTCGAAACCCACCAAAAATTCGTCCACCATCTCTGTACATCGGTGGAATGGTTTGCAATTTTCGTTGACACAACAGTAATAAATGAGCGCGTGGTTACGTCAAACTGGAATTCACCAAAGAATATATAAACGCAGTTGGTGGACTGATGGAGCAAACGGTGAATAAAAGAACGTGCCTAAGGATAGAAGAAACAAAATGGAAGACCTATATTGATAACACATCAATTGTTGATTGTCGAAAAATGCTGTCACTAAAATTTATCTGATAGGCTGATGATCCATTGTCATTTCTTTGATGACTTTATGACATTGAAGAACCTTCATTCATTGTTCAACCAGTACTGTTCTATTGATCTTTGTGACATGGATAATACCCATTGATTCCCCAATGCCATAAAAATAGTGTAATCTTGTTCAATAGGAAATATACTATTGTACTAACACAATGGAAGTGCAACATACGTATTATTTGATTCAAACAGTGATGAGCATTTCTTTATTACCACAAAATAGTGCCAGCAGTATGCCATCGATCAAATCAATGAGCCATTGAATCGCCAGCTATGTCGTGTTTGCTGGAAGACCGCTCAGGGACACCCTGTATTATAAGATGTTACAATATGCACTTCCACTTTAAACTTCACCTACTCACCCCGAAATATCCGGTATAATCATCGGAATATCCTGTCACCGCGTCCCGGAATGTGACTGGCCAACAGATAGGAACGCACCCCGTTGTCCCTCCGACGATCAGACGACGTCCGGCGCCTACTTTGTGACGCCAAGACGACGCTCTGGACTCGATTCGATTCTGACATCCGCAGCCCGAAAACATCGAGCAAGGCTCTGCGGGGGAAGAAATCTCCACAGAGCGTCAGATAAATAACTTTTTTCGTTATTAACCTGAGAAATCCCCATTATTCAAGGATTTCTTTTGATTAGAAGTAAAACACTTAGATAGATAAAACTGTCAATGATATGCAATATACTGTGACGGATCTTTATCTCAGGGCGCAGTTTGGGTTTCTCCATGTCTCGGGTTCAGTGCCCAAGAAATGAAAACTCTGAGATTTGAAGTGATGCTGACTAGACTTATTTATTTTCACAATTAATCTGAAATTCGACATATATATCTGTAGGTATCTTGTTATATGTTTCACACTAATATATAAATTCATCGACTAAAAATTTGAAAACACATTGAAATAGTAACATCATCAGTTACTTGCAATTTTTCCACATGGAGAACAGATACTCATTCCTTTTTTGTAATATATTCAACATATGCATTATTTCACCTACCTGAAAATTTGACCAGGCGACAACACAAAGAATTTTGGTGTTGCACAGACCCAAAAGGTTCATCAATTATCGCAAAATGTTTTCACTTTGCGGAGCTGGACATGCGCCGAGTCTCAAAAAGCAAATGTTCGCACACTCAACTGAAATCTCGATTGAGTTTCCTAAAATCTAGCAAAAACTAGTTCTTATACCCGTCGGTTTGATAGGCGATTCAAATCCAATTAACTCAATATAATAGAGTTCATTCTTCAAATCATGCCACGAAAAAAACCTAGGTACGGACCAAGGAATTATCGGCCTAATACATATGCAACTAGCTATGTTTAATGTTGTAGTAAGGATTGCCTAAGCAAAAAGAAGAAACATTGTTTCATTTCATTATTTGGCCGTGCCAAGCGTACCGGGGACGTGACAGTAAGAAGAGATGAAGTAACTTAGAAGTAATAATTGTATTCACAACCATATATATAATGTTGTAATTACTCAAGTCATTGAAGGTTGGGAAGTGTCATATTACACACCTCTACTTTCCGCCCCCACTTCCGCCCTCTCTACTTCTTGCCCTCACTTCCCGCCCTCGATTATGTATTATTCCAGATATGTTCAGAACAAGACAGAGATTAATCAATTTTGATCGAAATATGATGGTTGTAAATAAAAAAGTATACAAACCTCGGTAGGAAGTTTCATTCCTGTCTCGAGATTATAGCTAACCTCGACGCTTTGCGTCTCGTTTAACTAACTAATCTCACGCCAGGAATGAATCACTTTCCACCTCGGTGTGTAATATACTATCATTCACAACCATATATGTAATGTTGTCATTACTAACGTCATTGAAGGTTGGGAAGTGTCACATTACACACCTCTACTTCCTGCCCTCACTTCCCGCCCCTCACTACTTCTCGCCCTCACTTCCCGCCCTCACTCATGTATTAATTCAGGTATGTTCAGAACGAAACATAGATTTATTTATTTTTATCGAAATATGATGGTTGTAAGTAAAATAGTATAAAAACCTCGGTAGGTAGTTTCATTCCTGTCTCGAGGTTATATTTAACCTCAACGCTTTGCGTCTCGGTTAACTAACTGATCTCACGACAGGAATGAAAAAGACATGGACAAGTGACGTTCCACACCTTTAAAACAGATATTTGAAATTGAAATTGCCAGAGTGCATATCATGAAGAGCTATAAGAACGTCGTGCTACAATACACATATAGATACCGATGCGTAAGCAACCCATGAAAAATTAAACATGTTTCAAATCAAATAAAGTTTAAACCATGAATTTCATTACAACTAAAAGCAATTTTTGAAGTATGGAAAATTTTTGGAATACTGTGATCATTATCAATTCTAAAACTGTCACAACACAGATCATATAAAAAAGGCGACAAATCATGTATGGATAACTATCGACCAATCAGCATTATATACCAATCATCGGTAAAATCATTGAAATAATTTTGAAAGAAAGACTATACTCCTACTTTGAAACAAGATTTTACTTCAGTGAATCACAATATGGTTTCCGAAAAAACAAATCTACAACTCAGGCAGCCTTTGAAATCGTGACAGATATAGTGGAAGGCTTCGATCAAGGTAAACATACATCACTGTCACTGTGTGACTTAACCAAAGCCTTTGATTGTGAATCGCACTCCAGACTGATTGAGAAATTTAATCATTATGGTATTAGGGGCATCACTTTAGACCTGCTTCGTTCCTATCTCACAAACAGATTTCAGTGTATAGAGTTGAATGATATCAAGTCAGAATGCAGACTAGTTGAACATGGCGTACCTCAGGGGTCTGTCCTTGGACCGTTCCTGTTCATTGTTTATATCAATGACTTATGTTATCACATGTCAACTAAATGTGTATTATTTGCTGATGATACTACTCTTGTTTGCTCAGCGAAGAATTATTATGACCTAACCGAAGTTTCAACTGAAAATCTTAATAAAGCTCAAAACTGGTTTACTCAAAATGAACTTAAATTGAATGAAGAAAACACCCAAAAAATCATTATTTCATCAAATTCGAATTATCAAGAAGGAAAGAGTGTTACATTCCTAGGCCTCATTATTGATGATAGACTGAATTGGATTCATCATGTAGATAATGTTCTTAGAAAATTATCCAGAGCCCTGTTCGTATTGCGACAATTGAAGGCATTAACAAATCTCAGCATCTTGAAAATATCATATCATGCATTATTTCATTCTGTGCTTTCTTATGGTATATATCAATTTGGGGAAATTCAAGGAATGCATTAGCAGTTTTCAGATGTCAGAAAAAAGCTATTCGAATACTAGCAAATTTAGGGTATCGAGATCATTGCCATGAACACTTCATCAAACTAGGTATCATGCCAATGCCAACTTTATATATATATATATATACAGTTTTGTTAGAGATTCAACGAAATGTTAGCAACTTTAGTAGACATTCAAATTTCCACAGATACAATACAAGATCAGCTGATTTACTGATCATTCCACGTCATAGATTAACTGTTAGCTGCAAAAACTCTCTGAATATCAATTTATACAATACTCTCCACTCATCTGTCAGGGTATTGGAGTTCAAACAATTCAAATCTGTGATAAAAAAGTTTCTCCTGAATAACTGTTTTTATGATATTGACAGTTACATGATATCGGCTAACTCACTAAAGCTGTAATCATTTTTTATGCCATGCTTATATTTATTATTTTTTTACCATACTTTTCAAGGATGTGATATGAATTTTAATCTGTCTGTTCTGTACTCTAGAATTTAGGTATCCTCACAAATTTTACCTTTTAACTTTTTTAATATCAATTATTTTTCTTTATTTGATTATTTATACTTGGTATTTTACTTTTTCAATATTTAATATTGTTCTTCAGAAACATGTTCTTAATTGTGACTTGCCAATTGCCATAAATATATTTGTATGTATATAACATGGTCGAATAAACTACTCTACTCTACTCATACGGGAGCATCCCGCGATACCCAATTCCCACGATGCCCAATTCGTAGGAATTGGACATCGTGGAAATCAATAAAAAATGAGCATGGTGGAAACCTTGTGTTTTTTGAATTTTTATCATAACCTGGCAACGTTGTGCTCTTCGACCATCTTCGTAATCGTCGACATGAAGGTGGGCATGGTGGGAATTGGGCTTCGTGGGAAATGGGCATCGCGCTACGCATTTTTTGAGCGATCAAAACGATTTCAGCTATGGCGGTCTTCATTCAATGAATGTGCAATGGTATCAGTTCAAATATTTCAATATCTACTCGGTTAATTCCGACATTTATGATCTATCTATCTTCATGCAGGAGGGGTACAGCTCATTTTCTATCAAATTACTGTCACTCAAATTCTCACTCGTATTTTTTTTAGTTATTCACAATTTCAGTTGGATTTTTTATACAGCGTTCATTTTCTGACAGTCAATTCGAATTTCCTTCCAGTTCAGGCTATGCTTGATACATCAAAATTCCAGTAATATGCTGAACCATGCCATGCTGAACATTGCTGAATATACACGGTGAATGGCATTGTTCCTTCAATGGAAAACAAAATCTGAATTAATAAAAGAAGTTCATATTTCAGTGTTAGTAGTGGGATCAACATTTATTTCCATCACTAGCTATAAAACATATCATTATTTACTCCTATTCGAGGCGTAAAGTATGTGTTTACTACGAAAGTAGTTTTCGCCATTTTATGAACCACTAGTTGATAAAGACATAGCCATCTCTGTTGCAATTAACCTAAATTCATCTAGTAAATAACGAATTGTCATGCTGTCATGGTCATGACTACTAGATTCAAATTAATTGTAGAGAAGTGCTTTCACAGTGACAATACGTCCATATTATCACCCTGTATAGGTACGTCGTCGTTTTTTGTGGTCATGTCATCAACTGTGACATGTCGCCGTAATCATAGGAAATTCTCTCAACAGGACGTATACCCCAACAAAATATACAAAATCACCAAAAATTGGAAAATAACGAAGTTCAAAAACCGGGATTAGGGCGATTAGGCCCTCGAAAATGTCCTCCTTTTTGTTTCTTCGAACACTCTGATGTGTAACGACACCTTTGCACCAAATTTAACGAACATGCTGCTGCATTTTGGCGACACTCACCATGAATCAAAGGCATGTAGACATAGTTATTTATTATACAAGGAAAAAAAGTAGTAGATTTTAGCTCCAGGTTGTGTTGTCTCCCGACGCGTAGCGGAGGGAGACAAAAAACCGTGAGCTAAAATCTAATATTTTTCCCGTGTATAATACACTATTTTTTCCTGTGACAGAAGGAAGGACGAATCAATATTGAGAAGATATTACATTATTTCGAAATCGACGTGAAATTTCAAGTTTTTAACAGTAGGGACACCTACGTTTTATAGGCATCTTTATCATTCTTTTGAAGTAATCAAATATCTGATGTCACTTCTGTCAGTTCAATTCTGTAATTTGATTTTAAAAAATTGCGAATTCAGTAGTTGTTTAGTAATATACGAAACCGCGAAGTCGAATGGAAGATAAAAGGACTTGCAGTTCTTTCTCGGAGACGGTATTATTGACTCATTTTTCGGAACTATAGCCACAGTAGAGCTCTATAGCACAACAAAAGCCATTAACAGAGTATATATATGTGATATACAGGGTGTTTCATAATTGAATGTCAATATTTGGGGACGCAATTCTTGGGCCCATTCTAAGAAGAAAGTTTCATATGAACGTATGACCTAAACATCCTAACTTCTGAGATACAGGGTGGTGAAGTTCTCAAAAATTAATAGTTTTTTATTAATATCTGTAATACCACTTCAGATATTCTGATGAAATTTGGCATACATGTACTATGTATCAAGAGGCATCAGTTAGCGTACCACATTTTTTGTTGTTGCCACCAGTGGCGTTCGTATGGAATTTCACATACCTATTTTGGCAGACATTGATGGTACGCCACTGATTAATCTCCAAATTGAAATCATTCCTGAAATTCCCGATCATTTCTAAGCAAATTTGATCACTACAATTTTTTCAATCTGATGCACGGTTTTCGCTTAAAAATAAAAAGCTTTTCACTACATGATTATAGTAATATTGTTAATATGATAATATCACAATGCAGAGAAATAGTTTTTATTTTTAAGATCAAATTTCAGAAATACAATTCATAGTTCATGAA